CAATTTCAAATCGTTTTTTGACATTTCTGCTTTGGATTTGTAGTTAATGTGAAGACATTACACCAACACTATGATCTCGCCTCATGCACTCGCAGACCAACCTGTTTGTTGTAAATCTGTCACTGTACAACTGTCTTCTAACGAGACACTTTTTACGGCTGTGAAAGAATAAACGTGTCCAAACTGTAGTAAAAAAAAAAGGTTGCCTCACTTTGTGGCAAGATTGCAGTTGTTGCAACTGGGAGCTGACATCAGCTGAACGTATTCCTGCTCTCCTTTCCACATTTGAAGCGCGAATGAACTGCTCTAGTATTCTTTCATCCAAGAATAACTGGAGTGTGACGCTGTAACTTTGAAGAGGAGACTCGGAAAAGTCGGCAGCGGAAGTGTAGATTTAAAAAAAGAAAAAAAAACGATGATTCATTTGAAAGAGGTGGATTTTTCTGACTTGTGGACAGTCACCACGACCCCCCCCCCCCTCCCTCCCTCCCTCCCTCCCCCGCCCCCCTCACTGTCTAAAGTTGTAAGAAAGGAGAGCAGAGAGACATGTATTATTAAAAACATGGCTGCTGATGCAGTTGTGAGATAATTATAGAGGCACAAGTCTGCCCAAGTAGACACCTCTGTCACCAGACATCAGCTCAATAAACTAGTGACTGAAGGGGATTGTCCAACATCTGCAGCGCGCACTGAAGAGGATAGCGGCTCTTGTCTATAGGCCATGCACAATAACACAGCCAGTCCTCATCACCCATTTGTCCAGCAGGCCATCCCTTTGTCCCTCATTTACACTAAAATGTAGAGGTTTTCCCGAGAGAGGGTGCGTCCTCCGTTACACTGCTGTAATGCTCACTTTCCCTTCTTCTCTGATTGTCCATAAGAACAGCAACTGTACGTAGCACCGTGATGCAAAGATGTACTTTTCATCCATACACTTTTTTTTTATACATGCAGAATGGTAAATATTAAATTTTTGGCCATTGTTACGCTTCTTTTTAATCATATATTAATCAAGAAAAACACGTTATCGAAAACGAATACCTGAAAGTCATGATGTAGAATAAACTGGGATTTTTAATTCCTCACAGTGTAAAGACCATTAGCACGCTATGTCTCACAATAGAGAACTCAACTTCAAATTTGCTGCAGGGTTACACTCAGGGTCAAGTTAGGATAAGCTATTTGGACGGCATCTATAATTTGTGTGTGTGTGTGTGTGTGTGTGTGTGTGTGTGTTGAAGAGAATTTACCCTAGACATGAACTCATAAGAGGTTAAAATTCTAGGAAAAGATAAGATCCCAGACTCTGAAGTCTATAACAAGGTAACCAACTAAACTAAATGAACATTGTGGTGTTTTGAAGAATACCATGATTTTAAAGAAGAGGCCATGAGCTCAACGTTAACTACGGTAATAATTTAAGTGAGAAGTAGGGTCGTTTTCTCATAGAAAAGTATACAATCAGTCTACTTTTTATGATCAGGAGAGTCGCCCCCTGCTGGTCATTGATAATACCAGTAAACTTCATTTTTCACACCTTGATTTTCCCTTGTGTCTTTAATGCTTTAGAATTACAAGATAAATGAATGAATAAACATTATCTCTTACACCGCATTTTTCGAATACATGTTTTATAGTAATTTAGTTGAAAACATACATAGAATAAATCTTCACATTATTGTAATCTTTGTATACAAAACAATTTACTTTTCTATTTTATCCTCCAGTAGTCATTAGTTTTATTTTGCAGTTCATTTCCTTTTTTTTTTTGTGACTCACTTGTCTGTTTTTTAGTTTTCATTTAGCTACATTATCCAAGAGGCAGGCAGATAGAAGATAGATCGAGGGAATGTCAGAGAACATCTTTTAATAAAACTGAGAGGATAAGAAAGAGGTGGAAGGACTAATTACTTGGCAAACTGCTTAACAGACGGGAGTTGAAGACTGACGCAGTGTGTGCAGTGCTGGGCAGTGCTGGGCAGCTAGTTTTCATTTTAAACACAACATAACAAATAAAATATATTAGATTACATTTAAAAAAAAGGTGTTAACCTCATTACTTTTATTAACAGAAACAAGTACAGTTCACAATCAAAGTTTAAAAAATGCAATTGAAAGAAGGTAGGCAGACAGGAAGAAAGTCTTCTAATAGTATTGAGGCAAATTAATACTAATGGAGATCTGAAAGTCAAGAAAGACACGTTCTAAAGCACTCACAGCAATATTGTTTTTTCACTTTTTTGATTCCTCCTTTCGAGTGTAGTTGTAGAAATGTTGTTTGCCCGCAGCTACAGGGAGTACAGCAGAGGATAAGAGATGAAGCATGCAGATACTTTATGGCAAGGAGGGACATATTTAGTTGCCTTTGAAGTCGGCATCCTGAAAAGCTGCTTAATGGCAGAATGCCTCTAGAATCCACAAACGTGCACACGTGCAAACGTCTCATCTCTGACACGAGTCGCTCAGGAACGCAACTATTGCAACACTCGACAGGTGACCTGGAGAACACCTTGATTTATTAGGGCCCATATTGAAGAGTCACTATTAGCTTATTTCTGTTGTAGCTAGGCTGGGCGTCATTGAGGAAGCCATACAGAAGTGCAGCTACCTTAATGCATAATGTATTAATTATGCATAATTCTTTTAAAGATGGGAATTTTACTGGGTCACTGTGAAAGCTTACCGTGAGTTCAGACAGTGCTTCGGGTGTGTGTGTGTGTGAGCAGCAGCGTGGCCCTGAGGCCTGCTCAGTTATGGACTTCTAATATCCTGCACGCTTTCTTTGTTCTCGTTCATACTGTGCTGTTGTAGTCACTACTGGAAAAATCTTTGAGAAGACACAAAAGCACTTCAGAAATCGATCAGTCACCAAGCAAACCGTTTCAAGGACCATTTCAACCCACCACTCAATGTTATGTTAGGTTAGTTTTATCAATCTTTCTCTCTGTCTCAACAACAAACACGCACCCACAAAATGGCCTTCTCAAAAAGTCTGTAGTCCAGGGACAGAGAGCATCCACTGTATAAATCATTGCAAAAAAACTGTCCCATCTTTAATACATATTTTAAGTCACTTCTGTAGCCAGAAATCTGTACCGAGACACAAAAATAGTTTGTTTTTCTTTCTGTTGACTTAATCGGTCCTCCGAGGATGTCTCTGGTATAAAACCCCAAATCCTGGAATATTACCCTTCAGTGGGTGGGATCATTTACAAAGGTCATGTTTGAGAAGCTATCGAAGTCCAGAATACTGTAGACAGGGTCCGGCATATATTTGTACACTTAAAGCATCTCAAGCTATGAGAGTAAAAGCCTGCTTGTTGCATTGATTATTGGAAAAGATTAAATGAATCTCCCCACTGTAATTTCTGCTGTAATTTCTCATGAATAGTAAGTGCATGAACTTAGACTTAAAAAAAACTTAGATTTTCCGCCTGTATTTCTTTTATCTTTACTCTGAAACACACATATAGCATTATTTTTTATTTGTGTTGATTAATATTTGTGTTATTTCTTATTTATTTGTTTTCATCCGTATATAAAAAGATGAAAATTTCGATAACCGAAAACAGTTACTTGCTCTCTACTATGTCACAATATTTGGTTGAAAGGTCACCCGTATTGACGCCAAGTCGAGCAGTAAAGCTAGAGGGATGTAAGTTGCTGGAAACTGATTTACCTTTGTTTTGACTTTGTGAGGTTTACTGCTAAAAGTCACAACTTCATCTTCCTCCTCACAGCGCTTGGGCCCGATAGCAGCGCAATCCCCCAGCACCTTGTATAAAGGATGAAAGTAGCAAGGCTGGCGTTTTTATTTCCTTGTGAATGTCCCCTAAAACGCAGGCAAACATTTAATGTGATTATTTGAAGCGCATATAAACAATACAGCATTACACATTACTTTGCCTGCGGGCTAATGGTAAAACAGGATGTCAACCAAAATGCATTGCCGGAGGAAGAGGCGCGAGATTCCACATTAAAATTGAATCACATGTTGTAAGCAATGCAGAGGCCTGAAAGGAAGATGTAATGCAGGAAATGGAGAATGAGGATGAGCATGAGATAAAGGGAAAGTGGCACGGTGGCGCGGTGGTTAGCACTGTCGCCTCACAGCAAGAAGGTCCTGGGTTCGATTCCGCCCAGTGGCCTTTCTGTGTGGAGTCTGCATGTTCTCCCCGTGTCTGCGTGGGTTCTCTCCGGGTTCTCCGGCTTCCTCCCACAGTCCAAAGGCATGCTCTGGGGATCAGGTTAATTGGGGACTCCAAATTGCCCGTAGATGTGTGAATGTGAATGGTTGTTTGTCTCTGTGTAGCCCTGCGATTGGCTGGCGACCAATCCAGGGTGTACCCTGTCTATCGCCCGAAGTTGGCTGGGATGGACTCCAGCCCCCCCGCGACCCTGTGTGCAGGATAAGCGGTTTGACGATGGATGGATGGACTGGACAAGAGGACGTGGGGGCGTGGAGGTAGCAGTGAACCCCTGCTACATGGATGAATGGGGCTAATATCTAACAAGCAGTGCCTACAAATCAATGAGTAGTCTGTGCGTTTGTATGCAAATGTGTATTCACAACGTGTGTACGTATGACTGTTTGCATGAATATATTCATGTGTGATTAGAAAGACTATCCCACAAGCTTCTTTTCCGGGTAATACACAAATAGATGGAATATTCCATCGTGAGTTTTAGAGTTAGAGCTGTGAGGCGACAGTGCTAACCACCACGCCACCGTGCCACTTTCAGACATCCGAGTAAATTAGTTTTTACCATATTTACACAAGAACATTTATTGCGATGTATAAATGTGTTGTTTTTGTCTTTCTTGAACCGCAAAGATTGAATTCTCTGCAGTGCCTCCGACGTTATGGCAATGTGTGAAGATCTAGTCTGTGCCATCAGATCAAATCACTTAATCCAAACATAATCAATCGGGATTGTAACAACTTTATCCTCCTGCAAGTGTATGCATGGATTAATGTTCCTTGTGTCTTTCTGTCCAGGTGGAGAGGTCCCCTACACCACTTTGGCTACAAGGATGATGATGGGCGTTTGGTGGATGTTTGCTCTTATTGTCATCTCCTCGTACACCGCTAATCTAGCAGCCTTCCTTACCATCTCGCGCATAGAGAACTCCATACAGTAAGTAACAACACAACGAGTGCTCGAGGCTGTCAGTTCTGTCCCCCCGGGCTTTGGTTTCTGAAGAACTCTTTTGACATTAACATTGTGGTATAGGACTCAAAACTCACAAAAGTATGTTTGCATGCAGCTATGCACACACACACACACGTATGTTCACTTGCACCCATTTGCCATAGAGTTTGTGTGTAGCCGTGACTGCGTGAGTAATTGTCTCTAACACACAGACACGCTGCGGTCTTCCACAGTGTGCTTGATTGTTGCTCAGTGTGGAAATCCATTCTACCAGGCAGGCGTAATGCATGAGAGGGAAGACACACACACACACACACACACACACACACACACACACACAATTACTTCTCTATTCTTTCCATCCTTCATCTATCCTGTTTCACCCCATTGCTGGATAGTAATTTCCTTTCTGCCTCAAGTTTGGATCTATCATTGTTTGTGTGTGTGTGTGTGTGTGTGTGTGTGTGTGTGTGTGTGTTTCCAGGGATGAATGCAGGGAATATCGGGTGAGAGAGAGTGTTTTTTTTACATGTTCCACACTTTTTTGCCCTCTATTTATCCTTCCTTGTGATTACATGTGTGCCTGCTTCTCTCCTTGTGGCACAAGGAAACGTTCATCTCTCATTGGACTAATCAGCATGCTGAAGCATCCGCTACGCCCGGCAGTGCCACAGTTAATTGTGCTTGGCTTTGGAATAAACAACATTTATTTCTCTAAATCTCATCGCTTTTTTTCCCTTCATTTGTTTCGGTCAGTTTGTCTCAACGTCGTCCTTTTCTGTCCCTGCTGACCTCCTCAATCTCAACCCCTTTGAATTGCTTTGGTCTTGTTTCTTGGAAATCGTGTGGAAAGAATGTGTTTACTTGTTTTGCTTTTGCTTTATTGTTTTATTTTTTTCTGCTCAAATGTGCTGTCATTAATGAGTGCCTCACAGTTTACCGCCTCATTCGGTATCTATTGAGCTAATTAGGGATTTCCATAAATTATAATGCATTATCTTTAATGTGTTGACTCTTCTGGGGTCATTAGTAGCATAATTACCACCTAAACCGAGAGAGCCACATGGCCCTGGGTCCCCAAAGTTGGGCGGTAGGCGACATGTGAGATGGATCAAATAGCCAAAAACAAACTTAGAGTCACCGTTAAGCACGACAAACGAGATGAAGAGAGTTAGCTGAGCGAGGAATAAAGGAGGATTGGGATGTTGTAATTAGCGTGCAGCTTTATCTGATGAATATTTGATTAACATATTACGCAGATTGTAACGAGTAGCAAAAGGTTTGGTGAGTGTTTGAGAGTGAATTAGTTGGGTGTGAAAAATAGCAAGCGAGCAAATGCAAGAGAAACCAAGAAAAACGAAGGCGACTCGAGTGTCTCAGTGAGCAGTCGAGACAGACAGGGGTTTTAAGTATTAATGCCCTTGTTTCATCCTGGAAATGAAATAACAAGTGAGCATTCAGAACCCTCGCTGGACTATTTCACGCTTGGACGTTTTCCTTCAATTTCAGCGTGAATCCTTGAGGAAAACAGTCAAGGATGGCTGCAAAGAGGGGGAGCAATACAAAGAGAAAAGGGGAGAGACAGAAGTTTGTAATGTGGAAAAGGGAGGAGGTAGGTTAAAGACAATACGAGACGGATTAAGACAGGAAGAAAGGAGTGTGGCAAAGGTCAGGAGGGAACAAAGAGGAGAGAGAGGGAGGGTTTTGGCCGTGGTTATGAATTAAGACGAGAAATGGATTTTAAAGAGGTATAAATGTGAGGGGGGGGGCGTTGAGCGAGGAGAGCGATGGAGAGGAAGAATTGGTCAACATAGGAAAATTGAAAGACGGATGGAGTGTTTAAGAATCAAGAGCCGCCTCTGGCTCAATCCCACACAGCAGGTGTCATATGTTATGGTTGTTAATGATGGCAATAAAGTCAATTAGGAATGGTGTGTGTGTGTGTGTGTGTGTGTGTGTGTGTGCGTGTGTGTAACTGCCCATCAAAGGTAGTTAGGGTAGTTACTTCTCTGACTGCACCCATTGTCTGTTACATTTGATTATTTCAAACATAAATGTTCGGGAGAACGGGATCATAAAATGCTACAGTAATAGAATAATGGCATTTACTGTCTTAATAGTATGATAGTATCATATGTTTTACTGCATAGACTGTAACACATAATGAATAGACTCTGTAAGAAAAAAAAAATCAATTCCAAATTGTCTCTAAATACTTCATTATTATGCTAATATATGTTTGGATATGAGCATGTAGGTCCCAAACTCCTCCAATATTTCTAAATAGCCCAAATGCGACAACATTTTAGTGGCCTTTAAATGTAACTAATCTACTCTAAAGACTTATGTTTAGCTGTTCTCATTGTTTGGAGAAAAAGAAAACTGCGCGGTGATTGCTCGTTGTTCAAGGTTGCACAGATGTCTGCAGTGTGTCGACAGCCATTTGTAAAAAGTTAATGAACTGATCAAGGCTCCAGTGCCTTTACCCAAATTAATTTCCCCACAGACCAACAGGGACAAGATACTCTTTCTCTTTTGGCCTGTGAAGAAAACATGGACCATCCTCTGACTCTCCATGAATGAAATGATGAGCCCCAACCTGGCCTTTTATATATATATATTTATATATTATTTGTTTTGTTAAAGATATCTTAGTCTTTATATTTAGCTGCCAAATATGCAAGGGCAACCGGAGATCACACACACACACACACACACATTATACTCAAATTGCAATTGATCTCTCTCTCTCTTCCCCTCTCTCTGTTTTACTCTACATTTCTCTCTCTCTCTCACACACACACACACAAACACACATACATTCTTAGTATTTGTCACAGGATACATTCAGCTGCTGTTCACTCCATTTACTTGCTCGTTGGGCTGCTTAGGGGTGATGAAATTGGTTTCAAAATGAGCAAGCATGCACACGGGACAGAAAAGTAAATGTGTGCCAACACACACACACACACACACACACATGCCCACATTTGTCCACACAAAACATTACCAACAAATATTAAGCACATGATATATACATGCATACCTCTATTAGAAAACAGAGTAACATGTTATCTCTGTGGTGTTTTTAATTCAAATCCAGAAATTTCATAGTGTTTTCTTAAAGATGAATTATGGCAAACGACTTAAGCTGTCTTAGTTTACGTCCACTTCCTCCCCACTTTAAATGAGGCTATGTCTCTTCAGTTTTCCTTAGAAATACACCAGGGCATATATAGTATATAATATTATACAAGAACATTTTACCAGGGCCTGTTTTTCATAATAACCTTTAAGCATTTCATTAAAGAATATAATACAAGTATTTTACAGGACGTTTTGTATTTTAGAGTATGTATCAGGTACTGCTTTTATTTATTTTTTCTTAGACAAACTTTATGTCAAGCATTTTACCACTTTTGTTCTCAAATTTGGCAGCTTTACTGGTGTAATGGTCTTGTCTCACCATTAACGCTTTTTCCTCTGGGCCTTTTCTTTTTTATTTCTATGAAATATAAACTTATCTGACATGACGTTTTTTTACCCGCTTTCTCTGCCTCCCACACATACTCACACCATTAAATAAGAACCTCAGAGTTACTACCCAGTGAAACCGATTCATAACTGGGGACTCCTGGTCAAAGAGGGTGCTGACAGGCGTGCACATTCACAGGGAAGTAGTGGGGGAGGGGAGATTATTAAGGCCAAAGATTAATTGACGGCAATAAAAGATTCATGTTTCCAGTAAAGTTCATTAAAATCTTCAAAGGTTTTTTTTTTTTTTTTCAGGCCGGGTCAGAGAAATATTTATTGAGGGCATCAGAGCGAGGGAGAAATGGCAAGAGCTGGGACCTTTCATTTGTCTTATTTCTTATGCGTGTGTCTGGGTGGGCAGCCTTATAATAACGCAACAGCACCAACTTGTACTTGTGCTCGCTGTTAAATCTTCTTTATGGGTTTATTGCGGAATTGAGGAAGTAAGATACTGTACACTGTGCATCATTAAGCAGGACATGTTGAGCGCTTTTGTGTAAATGCTTTGTTTACCAAATCTCTCAAGTCTCGTATCCATGGGTGGTGTGCAGCAGCCCTTTAACAAACAAACAGTAATTAGTACCCGCAATGGTTCTCCATTACATTTGTCTGCAGCCAAACTCTTCTACAGGGTCTTTTGCATTACAACCCGTTATAGCGTGTGTTTTTCCTTCCTTTTCAGGTATAGACTGAGATAGAAAGCAGAGATCAAAAGAGACAAATTATTAGAATTTTTTTTTTAATGAGACTGACTAGTGTTTTTTTGTTGTTTTCACTTCTGCCCCTGTTTCTTTTTATTCTTTGTTCTCAATTGACTTTATATTGCACGAAGGTGCCCCCTTATCACTTCTGCAAACAAGCTGTGCTAAAATGGCTAAAAGCTGCTGTGTAGTGGGCTGCACTACCAATAGAAAACAGTTGTTTAGGAACATCTGAGGATAAAGGCAATACAATAGAGCAATAGCACTACTTTATCACCCTCTCCAATAATATTGGTATCCTTTGTGTGTAAGTATTTTATCCAAATGTCGGTTAAGGCTAATTATATTTAAGTTCAGCATTGTGACTGTTTGTATGCCGGATTATCGCAGAATTTTTTTGCCTACTGAGTGCCTTAGCTACACTATCTTGCAAACGCATACAATTAGCAACCATATAACGTTTCCAGTTTCTTTTCTGCTTGTATCATTTCACTTATCAACGTCACCTCTGCTAGACATCTGGAGTACTGCTGTGAAAACAGCTTTCTACCTACATATGTTTTTCATGCTTTTTCAAATTTGTATTCTTTTTTTTTAAATTAAATTGTCAATTACATTTTACATGAGTGTAGATCCACATCATTAATTTATGGGGGAGAGATAGTGTGGACCAACGTGCAGCTGGCGACTTCATGAATACTCTGTGTGTACTGTCCAACGCCCGCCTGGCTTTGGGTCTGGTCAGCTGTCACTGGGAGGCACCAAGAACGTAACCAAAGCATGACCACTTTCCCTCATGCAAACAAGCTACAGAAAGAGATTTAATCCAGGTTAATTATCCCTGTGAATAATAACTCTACTTGAAAAGAAAAGACACAAAATGTGTGGGAATGCAGACAGACGTTCATTATCATTGACCGCCAATGTATAGACGGATCAACTTCTCCTTTGATGGAAAGGGGGGTTCAGTCCAAAGCTGTGAAAGCAGTGTAGTGCATTGTGGGAACTTGTTGCTGTTAAAAAGCGAGGCAATTCCATATCCGTTACAGCTAAAAGGTGGTGGCTCCAGCATCATGAATTCAGCTACATGTGTGATGTGGAGCTGACCAGTCGTTCAAAGGCTGCTAGGCACTTTCAGGGATGGAAACATTGTGAATTATTGTCAATATTGTCTCTTTGCAGGTCCCTCCAGGACTTATCCAAGCAGACCGATTTGCCTTACGGTACGGTATTGGACTCTGCTGTTTACGATCAGGTGCGCTCCAAATCCATGAACCCCTTCGAGAGAGATCCCATGTACTCCCAGATGTGGCGGATGATTAACCGCACCGGAGGAGGAGATAATAATGTCGAGGAGTCCAAAGAAGGCATCCGCAAGGTAGGTCTTTACCTTTTTAATTAGTTGTCACTTCCAAACGAAGAACTGTTGACACATCACCGTGGTTAGCAAAACAATCATCGAATGAATAATGTGATGGGTTTTGCATACGGGGACCAAGTGCAGTCTGGTGGCAACATCAGAGCAATTATTCATTACTCTGAACAAAGGATTTTCGTTTAAGACATCATTTGTCAACATTTTATTGGTTTTTGACTCATAATCTCAGTCACCACAGATTTTAGAATTTTGAATCCAACTTGTTGTTGTTTTTTAAATGTCTGCATGGTTCTTTCATATACGGTTGTAATTCAAGTTACGTTTGACTTGAAAATCTGTTTCTGCAATGACAAAAGCAGGGATTAGGGGATCAAATTCGAATTATGCTTGATACCACTTGAACAATGGTACGAGGTAACATTCTTTCTAAAAAACATGCAGATAAATCTCATTTAATCACACCTCAAGAATTGCCATCCAGCCATGCTCTCCCAGAGAGCCATTTCCCTCAAGAGTATTTCCTCCCAGCATCATACTAAATGTACAAACTAATTAAAAAAACAAGTCCTGTGACAAGGGAACAGCACACTGGATGCGGGTGCGTTTGTTACTGAATAACAGTAACAATAATGTCACATTGCTTTGCACATGTAATGATACCACTAAGGGGTATCATTAAGGGGCATCGCTAAAAGAAGCTAGCAGCACCATTTCTTTTCAACCCCTATATCTTTGGATTTCACAAAAATGTTAATTAAGCAAAAGCTGCCATGCTGCTTTGCTCTCTTGGTTTCTTCTTTCTTTGTCTTTTGCAAAATTCACACAATATGTATAGAAATTTGTTATGAAATGGGGATATTTTAAATCAGGGGTTCACATCCTCATAAAACTTGTATTGTGTTTCATACATAGAGCCAATCATGGTCCTGTCATTTTAAATGGTAGCCTTAAATAGGCAGAGAGTACAGAGGCTGTACCGGGGAAGACAATGACACACTGACTGGCACCTCAAGGCGTTTATTTGTGTTTGTTTGTTTTCCGTTTGCTGGTGTTGCGTGCCAATATATGTCCGCAGATCTAGTTTTGTAGAATCCAAGTCAGATTTCCCCATGGACACAAAGCAGTATATATATATATATATGGAGATTGGATATTATTCTGCTATACATTACTTCTCATTGTACGCAGCTCAGCCTCAGTCCTTAGTCCTCAGTTTTGATAAACAGCTCACACAGCTCAGCTGGGTCGTCTGTCTTGATAAGCAATAAATCTATCGCAACGCTGTTAACGATAAACGGACAACGTGTACATGGTAAAATACTTAATTCCCTTGGTGGTTATCCGGCATCATAAATATCTGAATGCTGCATCTCATTTGCATGCAACCCGTTTCCTGTTTGTATCAACCTTTTCTCTTCCAGTGGGAGTCTCACTTCATCCCTCCTCCCTCTAGAATATTTTAGGCTTGAACTGAAGCCAGCGTTGGAGCCGTTGGAAGCGTTGGGAGGAGTGATTAAAGTGGCGAGGGGTATTTGTTAAATGATCTGATAAATGCGGCACATAACAGCATGTAAGCACACAACTATTAACACTCACTCACATACGTTACCCGTTGCCAGAAGTGTTTATCGGGTGCATATAACTAATTGGCAGTGTGTACTGGATCATGCATGAATCAGACTTTGATTACAAAGCAGAACGCTGTGTGTGTTTGTAAATTAATAACATATTTGTTCTCATAGCTCGATGCCATCAGCTTCCGCCATACATAGCCTCTGAAAGTAATTATAATTATAATTATATATACATGTTTTTCTGTGTTTGTATAGAATGCCGCTAATAAAAGTCTTAATATAACAAATATTATCAGTTTAAGTACTTTCTTGAGTACTTTCATTTATCAAACAATTTACACTATCACATTCATTTTAAGTATGAGAAAATCCTAAAATGTAGGAACTTTGACACTATTATACTATAATATTGAGAAATAAAAAGTACTGTGAAAATGAAGCTCTGTCACTATCACAGAACTGCGGATTACAGAGGGACAACGTCCTCACATTGTCATACATAGCACAACAGTGGTTGTTTTTTTCGTCAGGCAAACAAGGCCAAACAAGTCAAACTCTGTTGTTTTCTACTAAGGGCTACAAGCAGTGGTGCCAAAGATCAGCTCCGTCCTGCGTATCGTCAGTGCCACATCACAGCTTCCACAGCTAAAAGGTGACTGTGGTATCACCACAGTAACAGCAATTTCCAGGGGATCAGCTGAGCCTCCACCTTGATGTGTGGAGCTGACAGAGCTGACATAGTCTGCATGATGCTCACAAGGAATGCATGGCATGCACTGACAGGCGCCGTGCTGGGAAATGTATACCACCTCTCTGTATTCTGCTCGTTGGCCATTGCAGCATCAGACCAAACGGGGATAATCATTAGATTGCATCCGCATCCACCTCATCCGCTTACTTTAAAGTACAATCTGGGGAAAATGAAGGTCCTTGGTTCATCAACCTAGTACGGCCTGGAAAATTTGTATTAAGTTAACGTTATAATGAAAATGCATGTCACTTGAGTAAATATGTGAGAACAAATGTCTTCAATAGCGTCGTAGCATTAAGGTCCTTTGAGTAGCCACTGACACCTCATGTTCCGTGATGGGTATTTCATATAAATAGGGTGGCTTGGCTGTTTGTAAGCAGGATGGAGAGATGATCTGGGTTTCATGGATAAATTCTACATGACGGCGGTGACACTTGCAGAGGTGCAGCAAGCACTGCACAGCAGCGATGACGGAGAACACAAGAAGGAGACAGAGCCTCTGTCTCTCTCTGGATTCGATGGGATTCTTTTTTTCTTCTCACTTATTCCCTGACAAAAATCTCTGCGCTACTATCTTGCCCTGCTATCCTTATTCCGGCACTACTTTATCACCTTCTCCATATGTCTTCTCTTTACTCTTCCACCTCTTTTTCTATTTTCCCTGTGTGCACCCTCTGCCTCTCTGTCAGTCTTTTATTCATCCTCAGTGTGTTAAAGGCTACAGGGTGCACTCTAGTGGTGCGCTTCTCAAAGCTGCATTGACACGAGCGGACGTTTTGTCCCTGTTTTCTTTTTTTTGTCCCTTATCCGTGACACTGTTGCCATATTTGACTGTATTTTTAAACCTCCATAGCAACTCAAACTCTAAATGAAAATGTGTCTTTATTTTACTTAGTCAAATACCAATTTTTGTCCCCCTCTGGGTTAAGTGCTTCCTTTCAAAGGGAAATTGCTAGGATGTCATTTTAGATTGGTGCTTATCACATAAATAAAAGAGGGGTGTCAAAGGCTACAGTGAATTATCTTTTGTTCTCAGCCACTTTTCAGCAGGTCTGCTACACGTGGTTTTAGAAACTAAGAAAAAAACCTAATGGCTAGGAGACAATTACCTAAAAATCCCTTTGGTGATGACTCTCAACGCATTCTGATTCATTTTCAAACTGACAACTCGATTCGGCAGCCAGTGAGCACGATACCTGGAATATGTTTTTTAAAGCTGGAGGTTATTCAGGAAGCCATGATGCGATTACAGACCCTGTGAGGCAGTCCAACTCTGTCTCCGTTTGATTTATTTGGATGTGTTTGTCTTCTCCCATCCTGTCCCTTTGCTATATTTGATTCCGGTTGGGTTAAAACCTGATATACGTCTTCCTTTCAGTGGCATTTTCTCTCGCTCCTTTTTCTTGCATTACTCTCCCTCTGCCGGCCTCGCTCTTTCTCTCAAGCCTTTACTCTTTGACTATAAACGTGTTACCCCTCTATGTCACTGGTGTTTCCTGCACACCGTGGAATTTCTTCCTTTGACGGTGTAGATCTCCTGCTGCAGAATAATATTGCGTCAGAACGGGTCAGAGTCGGAGCCATCTCTGGTGTCACTCACGTCACAAATATATGCACGTGCACACACACAGATGCACTCACATGCGGAAGCACGTACATGCAAACACACCGCATGTACATAAGAAGCATCCTTTATGCACCAGCATATCTATTAACATGCACTCCTTCCAAGCAGTGATACTGACATACAGATGCAAAGCACAGCTGCAGGGTGAAGCTTTTCCCATCAGTGTACGTGTCTCCCATCTCTGCCAATAATCAAGGCGTTCAATAAACTAAGATGCCATTGACCTACCTACATTAAAGATGCTGAATATCTATTTAGTTACATGTATGCCGAGTATAGTTTACATTTTAAATAAATGTTGGCAGACCTTTAAAATTGGAACTATATATAGTAGTTAGGCGGAGGTTTCAACCATTGACTGTTGACCTCCCAGTGTCCCCATATGTAAAAATAATTAAAATCTTTTTCTGCATTACGCAGATTACTACCACCTTTAACCGGAAACGTTTTACATGCTTGTTGCATGACTCCCCGCCACCGGCGTGCGCCAATGTCTCTGTTACCATTATCAGCCCAGTGATCTCCAGATCTTGCTTCTGTGCGTGATCGTCAGTGAGGGCTGCTGCACTGTACACAGCAACGCGCGCAGGAACAGCTTTTTTAAAACTGCTTTATTGACACAAGTTCAAAGTAAAAAACACTTGAAAAAACGTGTGATAACTTAATAACTGGAGAGCTTTGATTGAAAATAACATTGACTTACGATGCTCCAGTGGAGGGCTTGGCTTTTGAAGTATGCTGTGTAAATGATGCGTGCCGTGTGGGCACACATCATGCAAATTAGTACCTTCCCCTTGCTCCATCTCAGCTCGCTGTTTTGGAAAGAAGTCAGTGTCGTAGTTTTTCTGAACAGTCCAAAAGTGCTTCTCAAAATGTCCTTTCTTTGGAATAGCGACAGTAGATTGGCAGATCAGAGAAACGCACTTTGGGTATCACATTGTGAACAAAAAGTCTCCTATTCCGCATGAAAGTGGTTTGGATAACATCGTTTACATTCTGAGAAGACATAGCTGAAGGTCCACCGACTGGACTGTTTGGATTAAGTAAG